TGAACGCGTTCTTAAATATAGGAGTCCTCCGTAATAATAGACGACCTAAATGCGAGATACTGAAGCTGGAACGATAAATTTTAAATAGAGCTAAGCGTCTACAGGCAAAAACAATAACAATAACAATTTTTTCAACCAACATAACGATCACAATTCTTACCTACACGCTGTTCCCAAATCGATGGAAAGAAGCCCACATTATCATAATTCCGAAACCAGGACAGACGAAATAGAACTAATCCCAGAAGCTCAGTTCGGATTTAGAACAGAACACTCCAGCGAATTACAAGTACTTAGACTGACAGAATTCATACTAGTTGGATTTAACAACAAATACTACACAGGAGCAGCGTTACTGGATGTAAGCAAATCCTTGGACAGAGTCTGGCATAAAGGCCTAATGTCTCTACTAAATAAGAAACTATGGATACAGAGAGACATGATGAGACTGATCTCTTCGAACTTGAGTAACCGAAGCGTCAAAGTTCGAATAGGAGAAGTATTGTCTGAATACAGAGCTCCGGTGACTGAAGTACCACAGGCAGAAGTCTTGTCACCCTACTGTACACAATATACACCGCAGATGTTTCAAGAATACCAGGAACGCTAGTCAGACTTTATGCAGACGACACAGCGATTGCGACTCAATACAGAAACTTAGTAAGAAAGTAGGGATCAGCAATATACAGATAGTATTGGATAATACTAAAGAATAGAGTATTCAATAAAAAATAGCAATACATTCAGAGCGGACAATCATATTCAAAAAGAAAAGTAAAACTCTAGATAAACAGTTGTTAGTGCACGATAATCTCATCGAATGAAAAAGAGAAGCGAAATACCTAGGCGTCATTATGGATCAAAGCTTAACATTCACTCTATACGTGGACACAACCATCCAAAAAACAGCAACTGCCAGAGCAGCAAAATGTACCAAGATACGTCGCTGGGCACTTTCTGTTTCGAGAACTGCAACAAGTGAGAATTATAGATAAAATGGCAGAAAAAGCCAGAATTAGGTTTGCAAAATTTGAGAATTACCCAAGCCCGATCCTGTGGGAGAAAATAATATGATGCGTTTTATCGATGGAAGCACAAAAGACCAAAACAGCAAATTCTAGCAAACATATAAGGTCTAGTTAATTCTAAGCTCTACCAATATTTAAAAAAAAATTAAGTGAATAAAGGCTTCGACTACCAAAAAAATTAAAAAAATAATAACAAAAAAGCGGCAGCCATCCAAAAAAATTAACCATCCAAAACTTGGGCATGAAGAACTTATATCTTCGGGCACTGAGTCGCCGAATTTCAGTTCGATGATATATCAATAGACAAAGCAGAAAAAGAGCGCTTCACGCTAGCCTGCACTGATCGAGTTAGAGTATCGTGGCTGATAGTGAGACTTTATCGCGCATCAAAGTGCTATAGGGATAATGTTTGGAGCATTGGAGCACGGTGGAGTTGTTCATGATAAGACGAATCAATACACCTCGCTCCACTGAATTTTATCACCCGAATGCCATTCTTAGGGGTGTGCTCTCTGACTGGGTTGATTCTGATTGGCTATTTTCATATGTTTAGTCACACACAATAACTAATTATTTATGTTTTTAAAATGCTCGCAATAGCCCAAAAATTGATTGAAATTTCGGAGCGATTTTAAAACTTTTATTCACTTTGACTAGATTGCAGCCAAGTTAGAAAAAGATCATATTAACTGAGGAAAGGATCACTACAGGAGCAATGCGGTTAATTTGTGGCAATAATGTTAGAAAACTCTGAGGTTTCCAGAGCAACAACTAACACATCCACGGAGAAAGCTAAGCTACCTGAGGAAAAGAATGCCAAACGTTTATGCCGTATTAAATAACAGGAAAAAGATTAAAGCGAGTTAATAGTAAAATAAAGGTAGAATTTATCGGCATAGCTACCAACGAAGGAAAAAAATACCATATACGTATAGCTGTCCTTGGAATGCACCTTAATGTGCCTTTAAGGTTTAGGGCTTATTTATTTATAAATCTCAATAGGCCATAAGCGCATACGGCTTATTTATTTAGAAAGCCCAACATGCCTTGAAGTTCTAGCGCTTAGTTATTTATAAAACTCAACAGGCCTTGGAGGCTTAGGGCGTATTTATTTATAAGGGATAATAAGTTTTAAGAGCCTATGGCTTATTTATATTTAAAGACCAAGAGGTCCTGAAGGACTAGGACTAATTTATTTATAAAGTTCAACATACCTTAAGTCTTATTGCTTATTTATTTATAAAATCAACAGGTCTTGAAGGACAACAGCTTATATAGTTAGAAAGCTTAACAAGCCTTGAAGTGCTTATTTATTTACAAATCTTAACAAACCTTGAAGGCCTAGCGCTTATTTATTTATAAGGCTCAACTGGTCTTAAAGGCAGGGCTTATTTATTTCTAAAGTTTAACAGGCTTTAAAGGACTAGGTCTTATTTATTTATAAAGCGAAACATATCCTAAAAGGTAATGGCTTATTGATTTAGAAAGCCTAATAAGCCTTAAAGGTCTAGATTTATTTATTTGTAAAACTTAACTTAAACAGGTCTTAAAGGTCTGTCTTTTGTCAGGAAGCTACCTGATAAACTTCTTTATTACAAAATTATTGCCACAAATTGGTCGCATTGCTCTTGTAGCGATCCTTTCCCAAGTTAACATGCTTCTTTGTTAACTTGGCTGCACTGTACTAAAGACGATCAATAGTCAGAAATACGTATATATGGTGTTATAAAAATATTTTATTATATAAAGCTCAACAGACCTTAAGAGGTAAGGGCTTATTAATTAAGAAAGCCTAATATTGCTTTAAGATCTAGGATTTATTTATTTGTAAAACTTAATAGGTGTTAAAGGCCTAGTGCTTATTTATTTATGAAACGTAATAATTCTTAAACGCCTAGAGCTTATTTATTGATGAAACTTAATGGGCCTTTTTATTTTATAAATCTCAACGCTCAACAAGCCTTGAAGGTCGGTGCCTAGTTCTTTATAAAATTCAATTGTTTGGATTTTCCAAATTAATGAAAACTCATATTAATTATAGCATTTATCAGACTATAAAACTATAACATTTACAATAGGGAGTGGTCGAAAGTAAAAAAATAAAATGCATTTAGTATAAAATTACATAAAACACAAATTTTCGACAAATATAATTAGCAAATAAAAGTCATTTTAATCAGCGATATTATAATTAAAATACTTGAAAAACATATGAGTTGACTCCTGTAAGTTCTACAATTGCTTAACTTTAGGGGATATACCAAGCACATGTTTAGAGAGACACTTCAGTACAGAATTTAAACATCTACAAAATTTCTGTTGGTATTACTTCCATTTTCATGAAAAACTATTATTTAATAAAAGTATTAGCATCTACTATTTTTGTTGGAAGTAAGCCACGCCACGTAAGTCAAAGTAAATTTATTTGACGTTTCAATTCCCATTTCAGAAATCGTTTCATATTTAGGGAAATATTTTCTAAGTATAAATCAAAACGTTAAATAAACATTTCTTTAAGTAAAATTGTGGCTTATTCTCAACAAAAATAGTAAATTGCATTAGGATGTCATAAAAAATAGCTTTAGAATAAGAAATAGTCTTATTTCTTATAACACCGCAACGAAAGTGTTTGACTATTGTGTCGTAACTAAATTAAAAAGAGTTAATTAAAAGATTTTAAAACATTATCTAACAACATAAATTAAATGAGTTAAAATAATAAAATTTACAAAATTTAAACAATCTGCTACTTAGTCATTATTATTAAATTTAATTTTCGTTTACTTCTATACAATTGTAAAGTCACTTATTTTTTTTTCAAAATTCAATATTCAAATATATATATAAAAAATCAGATCGTAGAGATAAAATTGTTACTTAAAATTTATCACTCAGCTTAAGAAATATTTTAAGATTTTAAAAGATTAAATATATATACTAAAAATTTTGCCCATCGCATGCGAAGAAGATCCAATCAATTGTTATCTAGTCAGTTATTAAATTTTTAAAATACTAAACTTTTTACATATAAACCAAGTAAATATACAGTATGATCTGGTGTACTGACCTGACATCGTGTTTTTTATTAATTAAAAATATAAATTAATAAATAAATAAGCTATCAGCCTACAAGACATGTTGAGCCTTATAAATAAATAAACCCATACCCTTTAAAGCCTGTTAAATTTTATAAATAAGTAAGCTCTAGGCCTGCAAGCCCTGTTAAGCTTTAAAAATAAATATGCCCGAGGCCTATAAGCTCCAAGACTTAAAGGTCTCTTTCGCTTTATAGATAAATAAGGCCTAGCTCTTAAGGGTCCTGTTGGCATTGATATTTATATAAGTCCTATGGCTTTAAGACCTGTTAAGGCTTGTAAATAAATAAGCTCAACCCATTCAAAGACTGCTAAGCTTCATAAATAAATAAGCCCTAGGCCTTTAAGACCTGCTGATCTTTATAAATAAAAAGCTTTAGGCCTTCAAAGAAAGTTGGGCTTTCTAAATAAATAAGCTCTAGCCACTTAAGGTCTATTTAACTTAAGGAATAAATAAGCCCTAGTCCTTCAAAGCCTGTTAATATATATTTATAAAGGCGTAAATAAATTAAATTAAATAAATAACCTCTTGCCTTCAAGGCCTGTTGAGTTTTTTAAGTGAATAAGCCCTAGACCGTTAAGGCCTGTTTAGCTTTATAAATAAATGCCTTTAGGACTTGTTGAATTTTATAAATAAATAAATTTAAAAAAGGGAAGTAGAAGAAAGAACCACTGGGTAATGTGTATGCGACTATAATTTTATTAAAAATATTAAGTTATTGTTCTACAAAACATTCTTGTTCCAAGAAAGTGCTGACATATACTAAAATCACTAAATTTTGTAATAATTCAAAAGATGATTTTAATTATAATTCATATAGTTTTACTGAAATATTTTAATAATTCGTTTATATTATAGAATATTTTTCTGTTTAAGGAACATATAAAAACCACCAAACTACTAGCAGTGAACCAAAGTTTAGATCGTTGGGTGATTTATTTTTCCATTCTTTGAACAGATTTAGTGAACGAATATTTCAAGTAAGAAAGACATTACATTTATATAAAATAAATATTAAAAATAAAAAACTAAATAATTTTGACATATATTATGATTGTCATATCAATCACATTTTCTAGTTAGTAATTAATTCCATCAGAACCAAAAATAAAAAGGAGAGAAAAAACGGAAACTTCTATATTTGTAAAGTATATGAAAATTATTATTTTCGTTGGAAATGAGCCACAATATAAGTTTAAAATAAGTTTATTTTTGTTCTGTTAGAGTAAAAATTCTTCTAGTAATTTAGTTTTATCTGACTCCTTCATATTGACAATTTAGACATATTATACATTTTAAAGTAAAAGACTTAAAATAATATTGTCAATATTGTTTCCTGGGACAACTTTATTCTAAGATAGTTCATTCGATTACACAAAATTAACTTGAGAATACCCGTCACAACAAATTATAGCATGTGATCGGTCCACATGATCGGTTGAAAAGGTAACTACATGCAATTTTGACAGTACAAATCTCTCGTTAGTGATTTTATAGCAAATCATGAGGAAAAACCAGGAAAAACCTCATACAATCCCGACCTGTTAAGTATTTGGTCATATATTTAGTTTACTCTTAATAAACACCAAACTCTGATTTTAAATGTATGTTACTTAAAAGATATATAATGTATTCTCGATATGTTATTGACTTACTAAGTGCTATTTTCTTCACCTATTCTAACATTTATTGGTCTTGATGTGTCACTTGTGATCACAATAAAAATGATCGCATTCTCGAAGTTCATTTTTCATTGTTAGGTTTAGTTTTAGATAAAATAGGTCTCAATGTGTTTGTTGTTTTGAATGTTATAATCACATGCTGTTTTTTTTATAAAACTAGAGGTCGCTGGTTAAATAAAATGAGAAATAATAATAGAATAAAAAAATGCAATATTCTGATTGTGAATAAATTAGTGAAAATAGAAAATATTAATTGTGAATAATTTACGATAATTTGATGGTTTTACTTATTACTGTTATCTGTACAAATAATAGACTTATCATTTGAAAAATTGGTGTGTCTATCATAGTAGGCAGTAGAATTGGTCGCAGCTCGTCGTGAACGGCTCGTACGAGGCACAAAAAGGGACATCACGAAAAACTCGATATGCTTCCTGTACGCTGTCTTAGTAGGAAGTGTTGTCTTGAGATGGTCAGTTCTGGCCATCCAAAACCCTCTGGCCGTTTTTAAATGGTCTATGGGACAAGTGCTCCCCAAAAATCAGTGCTATTGTATGTCGCTTTTAAATGGCGATAATCTAACTTAATGGTCACTGAAATATGATAATTTACAAAGATTTCTGTATGCTGGCGACTTACTTTCCAAATAACAAAGGAAGTCAAATTCTCTGAACTTAAATAGTTTAACAATGAGATTTTACTGAATAACAGAAAACAATATATTTTAAAGCAAATAATTAGTCAGAATAGACCAATAAATAAGATAACATTATGGTACGGTAAACAAAAATAAATGTAAAATATAAAAATAAATACTAAATACTTTCCCAAACATTCTCCCATGTTCCAAACATTCTCCCGCTCCAAAAACGAATATTTTAAGAATAGCTGAAACTACAAGTGTAAAGAATAGACATGAAAAGATGGATAAACTAATAAAGAACTAAGTAAGAATAAAATATGGGTTGACAAATAAGCAGCGATCATACTTTGACAAGACATTGTCGGATGCCATCTGAAACTGTGCTTACATTAACAAAACTTATATTGTCATCAGTTAAAAAAGAATAGCCTCAAATTAGTAGAATTTTTGACCTACTAAGCTAGAAAGACTAGAAAACAAAATACCGTTGGCCTTTTTTCCTTAAGAATTCCGTGGGGTGCGAAAAAACAAGAAGAAGAACAGCGTCGAAATCTCGGCGTGGAATCAAGAGAGTCTTCGATGATATCTGGGAGTACTGATATTTCGACGGGCTTCACGGTAGGAAAATGTTAGTTTGGTAAAAATTGTAACAATTGTGTCTGTGATAAAACACGATTAACACAATCAGCGAGGTTTTGATTAAAAGGCATATAATGCCAAGTAGAGCGTGGTACCAGTTCTTGCATGTGTTTAATACGATTGACAATTTAGGCGTAGAAAAATTTGCTGAAGGGAGCGCAATGACCGAATCAGACAAAACATAGGAAGATCGGAAGAAGAATCATTTGACCGATGTGAATAGATCAGCCAGCGATATGGCTGTCAAGAGCTCCAATTTTGTCAAAACAGAACTAGCATGAAAATTGGACGAGACTCGTAGACAAAAGTGAGTAGATTAGTCAGCAGCATAGCTGCCAAGAGCTTCGATCTTGTGATAGTTGGTCTTGTGTGGAAATAACACCAGAAATGTAACACATACAAGTACAGAGGTCAGTTTTATCTGTTCAGATGTTTCATCATCCCAGGATACATTGAAGTACCACAACGGTTGTAGAAAACGTTAAACTAGCAAAAAGACATGAAAAAATAAAAACAAGAGGATAAAAAAAATACGACTGATTAACGAATGAATAGCCAACTTTGTACAAGGTTTGTCAAAGGGATGAGAATAATATGAACAGAAGTCAATCGTAGGGTCCCATTCTAGGCCGCCTAGCACCGTAACAATTGAAGGTTCCTCTTTGTCAACGAACAAAATGTCTGAGCCAAAGCCTTGAAAATAAACAAAGATGGTTGTCGACGTTGTTGATTTGTCTAGCGGAAAACCATCGAGCTTTAAAAGGTTAGCGAGTTCTCACGCAGAAGGTGAGTAGATAAAAGAGAATCACTGGAAGCGTGATTCTGACAAAAGGCCGTCAAGATAGTTGCTGGCACATTGCCTAGCGAAAAAACCATCGAGCTTTAGAAGCTGAATAGGTACTCACTGCAGAAGGTGAGTAGATAATAGAGTTACGCTTGTAAAGTTTTTAAGCGAATTAGAACGAAGAAGCGCTGTAAGTAACGGTACATAGTAAAAAAAATATTTATAGAAAGGGTGAAAACCAAAACATAAGACACATTTAATACCTTGATTAGTTACCTTAGGGTGATTTGTGGCCTTGACGAAACCACAGGTAACGAATATTTGACTAAACTATTAAAATGAGACAGCGATGATCGAGAGTGAGTAAACAAGACAATAAATTAAATTGAAATGAGTTTGTGAGATATATGAGAATCCCGATAAATGGCTTTGAGTTTCATCTACACTGGCTACGAATAATTATTAGCGTGTATGGTTTCGATCCGTTAAGCAAGTCTGGAAGGCTAAAGTGAAAAGGTTTAAAACCAGAGGCAGACCACAGAAAACCTGGGATGACGAAGTAGGGCAGATTTTGAAAAGTAGGGGATTGGAATGGTCAGAAGCTCAAAATAAGGCAAAAACAAGAAAGAATGGACAAAATTCATGCACATAATAGAATAAATTTATTAGAATAAATATTTTTATTGGATTTGAGATGTAATGTATATCTGTAACCTGTAATTGTATTATTGAATTTTATTTACCTTTACCTGTTTACCATTATATATCTATATATATATATATATATATATATATATATATATATATATATATATATATATATATATATATAATTCTTTGGAGGATAACTTTCGGGAAAGCGTCAAAACAAGGATCAGCTAGAGATGGTATAAGCCAGTTTGGTGTAGAACTTTATTCTAAATGTGAAATTTTCGGTGATATGTTGTCACCTTCATCAGCACCTAAATGGAAAACCTATTTTAGTACAAGTGGTGGAAATTAACATATAAAACCTACATTGAAAATGTTCAGTTGGTCCTAGAGGTGAAGAACACTGTCACAAACATGTTAAAAATATTAAAAAATACATTTAAAATTTTGAATAAAAACATTACAACACAACAGGGTATTATTTAAAATACAAACACAACAAAAATCTAAAAATTACAACCTACACAAAAACTGCAACTTCATGTTAAAGGTAGAAAAGAAGAATTATTCTTCTTTTTTGATGACATATTTCTGACTTCTGTCAATATCCGGATGACATATGCAAGGAGGTTATAATTTTCACGTTAGAACCTCATGGATATGGAAAGAAAGAACCCCAGGAAACACAATCAACAGGGAAATGGAGTCTTTTCTCAAGTACAGGTGGGCAATCTATGTATGTTATGATAAGTTCCCTACATTCTCCAGTTTGTTACATCTTGTCAAGTCCTGTTGAAGTAGAAATGAATAAATACAACTTAAGTTTTCAACATCTTTCTTACAGTTCATAGAAGAACTGCAGTTATGGATGTAGCACATTTCTATGAAGTTTCTCTTAAATTGGTTGTCAACCCTCTTTAGTACTTGCACATTTTCATAGTTAGCAATGTGTCCAGTATTCTTAATATGTTGGCTAAAGGCTGTGCAGGTGGGTTTCCTCACTACATCACTCTTGTGCAAAGCTAGTCTTTTTGAGAGTTTCTGGCTAGTTTGACCGACATACACTTCTGAACAGGAACCACATGGAATAGAATACACTACATTGAAGTTATCCAGTTTTCTAACTCTTTCTGTCAGGTGAGTAAAGTATGTCCCTAATCTTTTGTACACTGAATTTGCTATCACTATGTTGAACTGTCTGAAAAGGTTTGTGATCTGTGGAGATAAACCTCTGATGTAAGGTAATCTCCCATAGAAAACTTCTACTGTTTCTCCTTCTAATGTTTGTCTTTGGTGTGTTCTAACTGTTGGCATATCTTGGAATAGCAATTTATTAAGAAGCATCTTAGGGTAGTGATTTTTTCTAAGAATCTCATACAATAATTTGATGTTCTTATTGTAGTTAGAAGGGTGACAAATTCTTTTTATTCTGTTTTTCAGACCTTTGATGATGTTAATCTTCTGTTCGTCTGGATGATACGAGTGAAAAGGCACATATCTACCTGAGAATGTTTTCTTTCTGTACCAATCCAACCTTACTGTGTTGTCCTCATGTCTGGTTACATGGGTGTCGAGGAATGG